ACTGTCCAGGTTTCAGAGAGGATTAGTTTAGCCATCAGAAGACCTGGAACTCCAAGTTGGGTGGCCTCCTGAGGGGACAGCCAATTTAGACCCTCCCAATGTGTTGCCATATGGTACACTGGCAGATTTTTTTAAAGGGAAGAACCCAGCTTCATGTTCGTCACCCGTGTAGAGGGCAACAAGGGTCTGAGAAAACTGAAATGTGGCTACATACAGAATTCCATGTGGGTGTGAGGATTCGCTTCCTAATTGTGTTTGACTCAGGCTGACATGCAGCTCTTGTCGCCGCCTTGGAGTGCATGTCCTCCCACGGCAGAGAATGCCCTAGGGACTAGGATGGCCTCACCTGGACATGAAGAAGATGGCTGCCAAGTGGACGATTCCTCTGCAGATGACCATTGGTTACCTCCACGCTTAATAGTCCAGGCACTGACTTTATACCTTTCAATGCTTTTTAGGCTCAGTCTTCAGGAGCAGGTTCACAAGAAACCAAGATCCCCATCAGTCTAGTACTAAGATTAAGGTAAGTAGACATTTTTGTTTGTTTTGTTTTGTTTTCTGAATACCCTGAATATGCTGTTTTCTCTTCGAAAGTTACTCCTTGTTCCAATAGTCTGTGCCTGGGAGTAACTGGATAGGATTGTATATCCTTCCAGCATCAAGTGCTGTTGGCTTGTAGGTGTATTATTTCCCTCAAATAATAGCAACATTGTGAGTACCTGGATGTTAACAGGTCAACCGATAACACACATTCTCTTGGTGGCTTCTCCGCTAACAGTGACCAGTTTGTGCATTTGCAGGATAGCTAATTTAAGTTAGGAATATGATCTGTAATTGAGGAGCAGTTTTTAGGGGAGCAGCACTAGTTGATTTATCTGAAAATGAGTCTTGTAATTATGACCATATGAACGTCATGGACTCTAAACCAGCTAACTCAAAAGTGGAGTGCTTTTTGATTGTGATAAATCAAATAAAGGCCTTGTTCTTAAAAAGATGAAAGGGAAAAAACCTCTAAGCATCTTTGTAGTGTTTTTCTCTATTTTACAGTAAGTGTTCTAAATTGCTGGTTCTTGGTTGGGGCATCTAGAGAGTCCCTGACAATTAACTCACAGGAAGGGCCATAGGTGGTGATCTGTTTATTTTAACCCTGTCTCGCTTTGCAGATAGTTGGATTAAGATTCTAGAGTGTTCTTGTCTGTTGTGTTAGCTGTCTGAATAGCTGTGGCTGTTGTATTGCTGTAGTTAGGTCTTTGNATATATATTATATTATATATAAATAATATATATCTATGTTAGTTATAAGGCTTCACATCCATTTTGAAAAACATTTCAGATATATTAAGGAATCATTGGTTGATTGTCTTTCTTTATAAGTAATGGAAGGTCCCTAGACATGGAAGAATGTAGCTTCTACAATTTTGTATTACATACTTAAATCTGTATTTTGAAGGTGCTGTTTTGCTGGGCAAAGAGGACAGAATAGATGTAGTTAAAAATAAATATGAAACAATGAACTGCTGTTCTGAAGAAGGAAAAAGTGAACTACTGATGTACATCAGCATTGGGGAGATGAAAATACTACAGTATCACTGAACCTCAAAAACTATGCTAAGCGAAGTAAGCCAGACACAAAAGAGTGCATAGTTTTTTGAGGTTCAGCCAACCTCATTCAGTGACGTTGAATGAAACGACGTTATTCGAGGACCTGCAGTGTGTGTGTTTCTATTACAGCTGTTTGCAACACCTGATCCCGTGGGTACTGTACTTCAAGTTCCAGAACAGATTTCTGGCCATCTACCTCAGCCTGTACAGCCAACTCAAGTCTCTCTCCCGCCCCCTGCAGAGCCAGCAAAAACAGCGCAGGTAAAGTAGGGACACGCTTACGTGGTCAGCCTTCTGGGTACATAAAGTAGAGAGTAATGGGGAACGCACACACTGTAATAGGGTGGATGTCTTGGCAGAGTTTGAAACAAGCTAGCTCTGTTTTCACAGTACTAAATGTCAGCAGATAAGCGTTTTGCAAGGATCACACAGGTTGTTAAGCAACAAAATAAGTTAATGATAGAAACATTTCAGACATCAAAAGTTTGGAGGTTAATTCCTTGTCAGTTTTTTTACTAGATCGTTATTATGTTTTAGTTCAGCATGCAGCTGACTGAGTTCATCTTGGCACAGAATTGTCAGCTGTTTTGTTGTTTTTGTTCACTGATTTATTTTGTTTGTATTTATTAATACTATCTCCCATCCATGATGTTCCTGTATTATTCTTTTTAAGATATTTGTCAATTTTTTGAAGGCTGGTTTTATGAAAAGGAGGTAATGTAACCTGTAAATCCACATAATCGGATGCACAGGTTTCTGAATGCAGCGAAGGGAACGCGGGCCCCGCTGTTCACCACCCCTGCCGGGTAGCTCCCACTCTTTCCCTTAGGAAACCGCAAATACTGTGTAACATGTGGCCTTATGCTCTACGGTTAGAGTAAGGNTGAAAAGTTTTATGTTTCTAATCCCTAGACAGTCTTTCATGGTATTTCTGTGTATCCTGCATTCTACTTTCAAACCATGTTTGGGGGGAAATGCAATGATTTCGGGAAAGTCTAAAGTGTTTTTCAGTTACCTTGAGTGAATTCTGGCACTCGAGGTGTCATTTAGCTCTCCTGATCATAGACAATCACTCTGCGTTTCAGGAGTTAACTTTGGTTGGGTGTTTTACCAAACTCTTGGTTGCTTTTGAATTCTTTGAGGTCACTCTCATTTCCTTTTGTGTTTCTCTGTTGTTTATTGCAGTAAGTTCCAGTGGAGTTTATGTGGACTTACTGTGTAGCAATAAAGAGTTGTTTGGTTGACGTTTTTCTGACATCAGAGTTTCATCATGCAGAACAGGAACAACCTTGTAGTCACTTCCAGTGACCTTAGGATGGATTCGGACAAAGAGCTCTGAGGAGATGAAACAGTGGGCACATTTCATGCACATTCCTCCATAGGCAGGTGACCTTGTGGGTGTGCAGCCTGTGCAGCCACAGAGGTCTCCACACTTAGAAAAGCCCTGTCTTTAGTTTAATGCTCTCTGCTACTGTCTTGAAATTCTGTTTTTGTTTGTTTGTTTGATTGGTTTTTTTTTTGGTTTATCCATTTTTTTCAGAAGTGATAAGTTCTTTTTTTTTTTTTAGTTTCAGATGTGCAAAGCAATGTAATAGTTAGGCATTTACACCCCTCACAAAGTGATAACATCCCCCTCCCCTTCCAATCTATTACTCCTCTGACATCGTATGGAGCTGTTCCAATACCATTGACTCTATTCCCTATGCTGTACTCCACATCCCATGACTATGCAT